AAACTAGGAGAAATCGCCTCTACCTAAAGCTCTACTCCCAAATTTCCCCTCCCAATTACCGTCGAGCTTACCACCTAAGAGTTTTACTCTGAAACAAGAAACAACTGCTCAAAAGAGATACACAACAATGTTGAACCTACCCATGCATTGTGCCAGAACCTAGTCTTCTGATCATCCATAATCCTCTTAAGACAAGAATAGGAAAACCAATCGGACTTCGATCCGAAGAAGGTCAAAGAAGGGAAACTACCACTGAGACACCCTCCTAAGATTATCCTTCCTACCCTCCAACGAGAAGCCAAACTCTTGGAAATCATACCTCACAACACAAATGTCTCTCTATAATGAGGGTCGTTCAAAAGAATCCTCCACATCCACTTACTTAACAATGCAAACAGTGGCGGATCTTGAAGAAAATTTTGAGAGGTGCCAAAAAATAAATTATATATTGAGAAGTTATTTAAAAAAATTAATATGTATTATTAGATGATGGGGTGGTTAGTAACAACATTTTTTTTTTGAAATTTGAGGAGTGCCAAAAAATAAATTATATATTGAGAGAGTTATTTAAAAAAATTAATATGTATTGTTAGATGATGGGGTGGTTAGGAACAATATTTTTTTTAAATAAATACAAAACTGGTGGAATTAAGAGTCAAACTCATGACCTCATGACAAAATAAGATAGATTTTACCGCCCACATATAAATTCGCCGATGAACGCAAGGTTCAATAACCTAAGATCTTTGATCCCTAAACCACTTGCCATTTAATGTTATATATTATAATCCTCTTTAAAAAAATTGTATATCAAATTACAAAATGTTTTACTATATTTCTAAATTATTTTAATTTTATTTTTTAGTTATATCTTTAACTTAAATATTTATTATTTTACTTTTTCTAAAATTATTTTAATATATTTTTTACATACTATTAACAAATGATAACATCGTAGTAATATTTTTCATAATTTTTTTATATAAATAATAATTACATTTTTTTTAATATGCATAAAATTGAAGAAAAAAGTTATAATCAGATAATAGTAATTAAATTATTGAGTTGTCTCGTTAGGGCAACTCAGTTGATGAATATTTGCTGTTGTATTATAATTACCTCATTTTTTAAAAAGAATATATATATATATATATATATATATATATATATATATATATATATATATATATATATATATATATATATATATATATATATATATATATATATATATATATATATATATATATATATATATATATATATATATATATATATATATATATATATATATATATATATATATATGTGTGTGTGTGTGTGTGTGTGTGTGTGTGTGTGTGTGTGCGCGCGTGTGCGTGTGCGTGTGTGTGTGTGTGTGTGCAAGAATCCGTGAAGCGGTACAAGAAGTGCTGGAAATATAGTAAAGTAGATAAAATAAAACAACAACCAACTCAAAACTGCATCAAAAGAAGCCAACCAAAGAAAACAACAACAAAACATACCAAAATAAGAGACAAAAGCTAGATAAAGATAAAAACCAAGAGCATCATAAAGGATCACTGGCTCGATCTCCCCAACTAAATATTCACAAAATGACACCAATTTTTACTGAGCAACAAGAACACTCCCATAGGAGGCTGAAGACACTCAAACTACTATTGGCTCAATTTGTTGGATAGGGTTCTCGAGCCAGGTCGATTGAGAAAACATGTGATTTTCTTGTAGACCTACCAAGATACTATTTCCAAGCCAAAAGAATGGTTATGTCTTCCATGTGCATTGCTGTCACCAATTTACCTGAGAACACAATATCATTCCGAGATAATTTTGAAATCATCCATACCACATCATGCCAAAAGGACTCTAGAATACGACTCTAGAAACCTCAAACACAAAGGGCGGGAGATATCCTATGAGTCCATGTCAATTCCTCTCTTAAGTAAATTCTCTCTAGTAGGAATCATATCCTACAATAATTACCAAGAGAAAACTAACACTTTATAGGGGGAAAACAACTCCATATATTAGAGATATTTGACTCCATCACCAAGACCTCGCGATATCTAGAAAAGTCATGGGAGAGAAGAAAAGAGTATATGCAAACGCTATAAAATAGGAACCATCTTTAGAATAGCTCCACCACCACTTATCAGGTTGGGGGGAAGGGATACAAATCCCTAACTAAGGAAATAAGATCATAAAGCCTGATTACGCTAAAAAATGTGAGATCTTCTCCACTTAAGATCCTAAATCCAAGTTTGCCCCTCACAGTTACAAACCTTTATAATAGAGCGATCCTTCTGATTAGATATAAAAGAAGCCTAGGGAACCTAGACTTAAGAAGAGTATCCCTAACTTGAGGGTCTATCTAGAACTTTGTGAGAAGACCAAAACCAACTTTCTTAATCATATTATCCTAAAATCAATCTGAGGGCCCCCCTTTTTGGTACTAAGAAGAGAAACCCCTCTCCACCAAGGAGACAGAGAGAAAAGGAATACAACTCTACCTCCAGGCACATAAGATGTTAAAAAAAAACTCCATATCTAGTAGATAAAATATCTCTCTAGATTCCAGAGTCTTTTGAGAGTAACCGCCACATCCACTAACCCAACAAAGCCAAGTTAACCAACTAAAGATCACAGACACCGAGGCCTCCAAGTTTCTTGGTCTTACAAATATCATACCACATAAACCAAGCAATCTTAAATCCCCCTATAACATTGCCCCACAAAAATCTTCTTCTAAACCTTAATAAGCATTTTAAGAAAATACAAAAAGAATATAAGAATTGCATTAAGAATAAAATTAAGAAGAATCACTCGCCCTCCTGGAGAGACATACCCATGTCTCTCCAAGTCACATATAGGTGAGTTTAACTAAGGGTTCTCAAGTAGATGAGAAACAGGGATTTTCCTCTACTAGGAGACATAGATACTTAAATGCAAGAACCCTTGGTGAAAATGAAGGATGTTATAGGCTAGGTCAAGGAAATCAGGATCAGAATTCATCCCAATGAGGCTACTCGTGGCGAAATTCACCCTAAGGAAATAAACTAGCTCAAACATACATAAGATAACCTTGATGGACTAGAGGTTCTCAATTGAAGCACCTGCCAAAATAATAGTGTCATCTGCATACTGAAGATGAGAGACCACCAACATTGAGAAAACCACTCGGAGACTAATGAAAAGTTGTTGGTCCATAACCCTGGAAAACAACCCACAAAGACCTTCAGCTACCAGAGGAAAGAGGAAAGGAGCCAGGGATCCCCTTATTTCAACCTCTTTTGGATGCTAATTTTTTAGGTCGAACAACTATTATTCAAGACCACGAGATTATCAGAGAAAACACAAGCACAATTTCCACTTATCATTAAAATCAATACGAGAGAACATATAATCCAAAAAAGACTAGCTAATTAAGACATATATTTTCTCAAAATCCACTTTAAAAATAAATTCTTCTTTTTAACTAGGTCCACCCAATCATTCAAATCAACAACCCTATCAACTAGAAACCAGCCATTTAAAAATAAGAGAATAAAATTTTTAAATGACTTAAAATGAATGAATTCAAACAATTTTTTTATTGTCTTTATACAAAAGTCAATTTTTTTGTCCAATAGTATAATAGTTAAGATTTTTAAAGATAATAAAATCTGGTACAATTTAGATTTTAGTAAATATCTTTAAGAAGAGTGTGTATCAAAATAATTTAATTTGTATGCATTCAACAAATCACATAATGATAATTCTTAAAATATTTCAATAAATATTTTAGCGCAATTTAATTTGATACTCAATTAATTTTACATTTGCAAGAAAATTAATCTCAAATATAAAATTAATCCTCACTTAATAATATAAGGGGAAAAGGAATCTTACGAGATTAATATTTTTTTTTCTTTCGAAACCATGTTACTCCATCAATCTTAAATAATATGTAAGTAATATGTGATATTTGATATTTAAAAATATCATTTGGCTGAATATATATCTCAGAGTGGTTGACATTGAAAATATATACCACTAATTAATGTTATTTTTTTTCTTTTTAAATTTTCACAGTTTAATAGTATGATAATTAATTTTGCTACTTTATTAATAAAATAAAACTTATATATTAAATATTTTTATTAATAATAATAATAAATAGTTCAGTTAAATAAATATAAAAAAATATTAATAAAAAATACTACATTGATATTTTAAAATTCTAAACAAACAAAAATAGTAAAGGAATTAATTAAGCATATGGAGAAGTGCATTAGTTGACGGTGAGGGCAGTAAATGCAATGTCAGTATTCTGCCGTAGTATTTCTTAATCATAATATTTCATTAATTTACAACTGTATGCATGTGCATCATACATATATAAAATCATTTCCTTAATTAAAAAATAAATAAAAATTAACGTCAACGAACTCAACTGCATATACTGATTTAAAATTCATTTTCCAAGTTAATTAAACTGTGATCTACAACTATATAATATTCTTAATCAACTAGTAATTTGATCTTGACTCATTTTTCGGTTTGAATGATAGAAATTCCGCACAAAATTACATACTCAGTGACTGAATCAATGGCGTTGCAGTTTTTTGCAGTGACTGTAACATTAGCGTACTTTGTACTTTTTTTTTATCTAATTTCATTTCAGTACCAGAAGATGATGAAGAAGAAGATGATTAATTAATTAATTAATTAATTAATTAATTAATTAATACAGTCTTTGATTTGATTTGAGAGAGAAAAGAAAGAAAGAAATTCATTACTGCAAAAGAAAAGAGAGCATTAACTCTAGCCTCTTCATATTTTTCTCCTACTAAAAAGGCTAAAGCTATGCTCTCATTCTTCTCAGATCCAAACAAATAGTAACATAAAAACAAAACATAGAGAATGGATATTACATCATATGCACTTAATTAAAACTAGCTAAAATACAAAATTGAAAAAACCCCTACCATGCATATATAGATATAGCTATAGCTATAACTCTAGTTGTGAAGAGGATTTGGACCAGTGTGAATTACTCTTTTCTCTTCATCATAAAATGCTTTTTCTGGAACGCCAGCTTGATCATCAATACGAGTAGTTCTAGTTCTTGTTCTTGTTCTTGTTCTTTTTGTTGGAGTTGCATGAAACAATAGTGCTTTGTTGAAACTACGTTGTTGTTGTTTCTGTTGCTGCGGTTGTTGTCGGAGTAACCGAATTGAATGGTTCTTGTTGTTGTTGTGGTTAGTTTCATTGTTGATGGAGAAAAACAAGATTAATATAAGAGCAAAAACTAACATGACCCACAACAACAAAATTGAAGCTCTTGTTAAAGAAACCCTCTTTTCTCTTGTTGACCTTTCTCTTTCTCTGAAACCTATCATTGCACTTTCTGTTCTTGTGGATTTTATAAACAAAGTAGAAGCTTCAGAAATCCACCATGAAATTGTGCACAGAAATATATGTCTCTCTCTCTCTCGCTCCTGATTTTGACTTGAACACAAAGTGTGATCTGGATAATTCTGAAAGAAAGAGAGGTGGAAAAATAGAAAGAAAGAGAAAGAAAAGAAAAAAAAAAGAAAAGGAAAAAACCTCAAAGTTTGGGTTATTTCCTTGTCTTATGGGTCTAGTCACATGATATCGACCCTTGATTCGTGGAACCTTCTTATAATTTTTAATACGTATTTCACTTCATATAGTACTTTTCTTTGGTTTTTCCAACGTACCTACCGCTACATACGGGTTTTGTCATCCCGTTTTTTTATTTTTAAACTCGATTTTTTCATTTTTTTTAAACTAAATTTTATATCAACTTAAAAATAAACATTCAAGGACTCTTTAAAATATTTTTATTGTTATTAAACTTTCTTCCATAGATTTTTTGTAAGCAAAAGTTATTAAACTTGGAGTATTTTTTATAAGCAAGAATATGAAGTCTTATTGTTTCTAACAACAACAAAAGAGACCCAAACAGATATAAGAGGACAAACTTACCTAAGGTAATCAAGAGGAGCAACAAAAAAATCTTGAAAATTATATTGAGATATGGGGGATCTACCAATAACACTCTATTTCTAAGAAGTCATTTTAATAGCTAAAATAATCTCATTAACATTACAAGCATCACCTTGAAAGATGATTTTATTCCTTCTTGACCATATACTACAAGTAGCAGCCCACCAAATGATACATTCTTTACCTTTTTTTTAACTTTTTTGACAATTTTTTCTTTAAGTTAATGAAATTCTGCCATAAGATGGTTTAGCTCAATAGGAATTCTCATTATAATAAATATTGTTTTTCATGACAAAATTTTCATCTCAAACCATAAAAAATTATAGATACAAGTGAGCGGAGTGTTTTATTTTTTTTTAAATAATGATAAATTTCTTACATCAACTTTGAGGTTTGATTCCCACCTCCTACAATTTAAAGTTTTTTATGGAACCAAAAAGACGCATTTATTTTTTTTTATAGATTTTACGTTAGATATGTTACCTCAGTTTTCAGTAAATCTAAGATAAAAACTCTCTAATTTTTTAATTCTTTTTGCAACCAAAAAGACGCCAATATTTTATATAGATTTTATGTCGGATATGTTACCTCAGTTTTAAGTAAAACCGAGATAACTACTCTTTATAATTTATCTCTGTAGTGTCTCTTTCATTTTTTTAAGCCCTAGCGAAAGAACACTTCTTCTCCAGCCAACGAAAGAACACTTCTTCTCTAAGGAGTCATATCAAACGAAAAAACTCTCTCACCATTGTTTTCTGGTATATTATTATTGGTGTTCTCCATTACTGTTGTTCTTCTTATTGTTGTTCTTCATTGTTGTTGTTGCGAATCATTATTGTGGATTATTTCATTTTGGTTTTTTTTCTTCAGATTTTGTAGCATATAACCATATAGTGTACATCATACTAAGAGTTAAGCTGAATTAAACTTTCATTAGATAATCCTTACAAAAATGCTCCATCATACTAATAATCATATCTAAATCCTTTGACTGAGAGATAATTTGACCAAGTATAATATGCTTCATCCTCGTCATCTGAATGTATGATGACTGGCTTTTTCACCTTTCTTCTTCTTCTTGATCTCCTCTTCATGGGAGCTCTCCTGAGTCTCAATAGTTCGATTGCACAAGAGCGGCTTCTTTTCACTTATTGATTCTGAGTAGGGTTATGCACAAGAGCAACCTCTACAACCACAACAACATCTACAACCACAACAACATTGTTAAAAACTTCAGTAGAAGTACTCATTTTGATTCTTCTGCTTTTCTGATTTCTTTGGATGACGTTCTTTTGGTGTTTTGGTTCAAAGAGGAATTTCACATTTATATTGTTTCTTTTGATTCTTCCCCTTCTCTGATCCTTGAAAGTCTAAAAGTCAAAAGATTTCACGCATGTCAAGTTTACTCATTATTGGTTCTTTAATTCTATATGTTTTCTTCTCTTGGAAGTTGGAAGCATTTCACGCATGTCAAGTTTGCTCATTATTGGTTCTTTAATTCTATATGTTGCCTACCTCATTTTCCAATTTCTTTTTCACTTTTTTGATATCCCTTCTTACGCATAGTTTGGTGTAATAATGTGTATTATTATTATTTTATTTTCATACGCTTTATGTGATTATGGATCATAGTTGGATGAAATCCAATAGATTAAGTAAAGAGTATAAGAATGGATTGTTACAATTTCTTGATTTTGCAGAAAAGAAACCTTCCTGACAATAACATGCTTTTTTTGTGTTCTTGTATGAAATGCTATAATACGAACTAACATCCAAGGGATGCTATATTCAATCATTGTTATTATGATAAAATTATTCAAAATTACACAAAATGAGTATGATATGGTGAAGGGACAAAGAAGAGACCTCTGCCACGTACAGTTGAAGATGAAGATGATGAGTTTATGAATTATAATCTAGAAACACTACTACAAATAACGCATCTAACGTCCGACGCGAAATACGTTTTACCTCGGCATCTTAAGCGATGTAAATAAGGTCGTCATGAAAAGTATGGACTTAACACCTCGGTGTTTATAAGACCAAAGTAATATTTTTTAGCACACGATTTCGATCCCCAGTTTGTCCAATTTTATTATTTAAAAAACTAGGGCCTCTTTTATCTCGGTTTATCAAGAAAGTCGAGGGGTTATTCTTTTTTTTTTATAAATAAAACTTGTTACATTGTTTTCCCACAATATTACATTTTTTATACAAAAAAATAAAATTAATTGTCTATGAAGATCATATGTTGGATCTTCAATTCTTTGATATTCTGCCAAGATTAAATACTGGGAAACTCCATTCTCCCAACAAAAGAAAAAGAATTAGGTAAATTAATTTTCAGAAGATCTAGATTTTAGATCTTCAAACCATATAATTTTAGGGTAGATCAAATGTTGTGTGCAAGGATGTTTTTAATCGCTTTTGCATGCATTTGTTTCTGATATGAACAAAAAAAGGGTTAGTCAAAAAAGAGTTAGACAAAAAAAGTGCTAGTAAAAAAAGGGTTAGATAAATAAATAATTTTTTGATAAAAAAATATTTAAGAACTCTTCATGGTAAACATTTAAAAACAAAAACCTTAAACCCAAATAATTTTCTGCTCTTGCAATCCATCATAGAGAACTCTTCATGGCAAACACTCCTTTAAACCTTAAACTCTTCATGCTTCGTAATACTTTTATAATGAGAAGCACAATGTAGGCTTTTTATGTTTCACGCAGATCAATAATGGTAATGTCTTGAGCGTTGATAGTCATGAAATAGACGGCAAGGATGTGATTGAGAATTTGATAAATGTCCTTAATTTTAACGTAAAGGTCCTCTCGATTTTGTAGGAAAACCGACGGGTTAGAACATTTATTTTTAAAATTAAAAATATAATTAAAGTAGAGGTTCCAAATTTATTTTAACGCTAAATTTTCCCTTGGTCTTTAGAAAGACTGACAGGTTAGAATATTTAAATACTATTAAGAGAGAAGTTAGAACACAGATGTAGCATGCACGTATTGGAATTATATCACTAGAATAATAATGATCATCTATATTTAAGTCGTAACACGTCTCTTTTAGATTATCAAGGAGGCGTTTGAGCTATTTAAACGTATAATTACCAACTCATTGATTCAAAGTTTTTTCCTATTTTCAAAGTCTCATTACCAACTCTCTGTTTCCTTGTTTCAAAGTCTTTTTTTTATATAAAAAATGGATGCAAATCTGTTGTTCGTTATCAATGAAAAGTATGTTAATTTCAATGATTTCGAAAGTTTACAAAAAAAGTTGATGGAAGTTGTTAACAAATAAAAGTTGAGTGGTTACTTTGACATTCTACATGGCTTCATATACACTAACCTCGTTAAAGAGTTCTTGAAGAATGTGTCTGTTGTGCCAGCTGGCCATGAAGAAATCATTCAGTTCTATGTCAATGGCACTCCTTTATACATTACTCCATCACTGATTGTTTTAACAATCAACTATGAAGAGTTTGATAGTTATATTGAACATTATAAATTCAACCATGTCTACACAAACAACCTTTATTGAATTTATTCCAAAGATACTAATCTCTCTAGTCCTTCTTCTCTACGCCTTATTGCAAAATTTTGGTTTCAACTTCTAGTATCAAATCTCCACCCAAGAGAGAAAGACTTGGAAAGGCTTACTTTATATGACAAACATCTCTTGTTATTCCTCACCTACAACCTGAGAGTTAATATTCTTAAAGGAAATGATAAAGGCTTCTCGGGAGGATAAGAATCTCCTCATACCTTATGGAAGAGTTCTTTATATACTTTTCAATAAGTTAGGGATAGTTAGGGGTGATGTTGAAGTTGAGTGGACTGAGAAGTTTGAATTTGTTGAGTAGTTTTTTTTTTTTTTTTTTTTTTTTATTATCAATGAAATATTTCCTTTTACTATTATTTCCTATTCTTGTGATAAATAGTTGAAACATGTATTAAATACGGCAATGAGGATTCGAAGTGAGGTTCCTTATAGCTATATTTCCTTGGTTCTAAAATAAAACCGAGATAACAGGTTTGTTATTATTTTAAAGATTATAAAAGGCACTTACTTATAGTTGAGTTTCCTCAGTTTTTTATAACACCGACGTAACATGTTGTTTATCTTATTAATAAACTGCTCCCAGGTCATATCCTCTCGGTTTTATCTTGTTGGAAATGAAAGCTTCGTCATGAAATTTATTATTTATTGTAGTGGAGACATCATTTGTGATATTGGAGTAGATGTTTTCAAGAAAGATAATATGGTAGATACTTTGCAAAGAGATATGGAAGATTCATTGTATATGGGATGTAACAGTTTTACAATATTGTCAGATGTGTTAAGACTATTTAATATTAACAAA